GGTTTGCTAGGGCTGAGCACTTTGGACAATAAGCCATTATCTCTGGCCTTCTCTCTGGTGACTGGATGGCCCTGGCTAGTGTTCCTGTGACAATTGTGAAAGTTTCCAAGCTGCCAGCCCTGCAGATGGAATCTCCAGCCAGACCCTCAAGGGCTAAGAAGCCATCTTTGGGTGGGATTGTGTTCAGGTACTATCACTAACACTTAATGGGTTTGGGTTTTTTGTTTGTTTCTAAACAAAATGGTCTCACTATGTAGCTCTGGCTTTCCTGAAACTCAACATGTAGACCAGGCTGGTCTCAAACTCACAGAGATCCTCCTGCCTCTGCCTCTCAAGTGCTGGGATTAAAGATATGTGTCACTAAGCCTGGTGCACTTTATTGTTTTTAAAGGAAGAAAATGTTTATAAAATCAATACAGTTGACATTTAGCTAGCTACTTCTCTGTGCTTCCATTTCCTCCCCTGGATCTCACAGCAGGCCTCCCAAAGGTGACAGTGATGGCAGATGGGGTGGCAGGCAGGTGAGGGGTAAGATGGTCTTTCCCTGGTACACATTAGCTGTGCCTTTACCTGGAAGGGGGCTTTGTGAAGAGAAGACTTTTCCTCTATGCCAGGAACAACCTCAGGCACACAGCTGAGGTGCAAATGATAAATACCCTGGAAAAATAGATAAAATAGGTGGAGAGCTTATTTAGAGGCCCCAGGGAACGGCAAGGCTCGGGGTCCTGAGCTTCCTCTGTGCCTTGTCCTCCCTGCCTAGGAATTCTCTTGGGATCTCAGAGTTTCCTTCCACTCCAACATGACATGAAAGTACTGAGTCACACAGTCCCTTAGAGGCCCCAAGAAGGAATCCTGTTGATACTCAGATCCACCCCCACCCTCCCACCCCATGAACCTCCTTGTTTCACAAACCAGCCCAGCTTCCCAGACACCATAGGTCTGTGCTCAGGCATTCTGATGAAGCTAGTCCTTCACTAGAAATAACAACTATTAAAAGAAATAACCCGCATTCCACTCACCGTCAGTCATTCAGCAGTAGAGGGACTGGTCCCTCAAGGGATGGAAGAAGCCAGAGTGTAGGCCACAGGGCACAGACAGCAGCAGCTCTGGGGGTCTCTTTGGGGGACTCTTAGATTGGTCACAGGAGCCCTGCCCTGGACGTGAATTGATGGTGAGTCCAAGGAATCGGGTCTCTAGTGAGAGATCATGGAATCTCTTGGCACAGAATCACCTAAATCACTCTGGTAAACAAGAAAAGGAAAACCTCCCAGGGCCCCGGGCAGAGCTTGGCCAGTATCAGAGCTCCACAACACCAGAAATCACTGCATTTGCCACAAAGAGATCATGAAAATTATTTTGAAAACAACTCCTTCCCCCACCCCCCGAAAAATCTCCCCTGGAGTTGGATCAACTCAAAGAACACTGGGGTCAGGGGAATGCCATCTTCATGAAACACATCATGTTCATGTAATACATTTCTTTTTTTAAAGAATTTATTTTTCTAGATTCACAATATATTGAATCAATGAGTCAGTGTCAGCCAGTCAGTGTTAGTCATTGCCTAGTATAAGCCAGTCAGTGAATCAGAACCAGTATCTATCAGTCTGTCTTTGTCAGTCAGTCAGTCACCATCAGTGTCAGTCAGTCATTGTCAACCAGTCAATAAAGGATCACTGTCAGTGAATTAATATTAATATAGTCAATGTGTTGGTGCCAGCCTGTGTCCATGTCTATCTGTCTCTGATAGTGATCCTCTGTTTCAGAAGTCATCAGTTAGTAGGTCACTGGGGCAGTGACTCAGTGTCTGTCAGTCAGTCAAGCAGCACCAGCCATGGCAGTCAGACAGACTTAAGCATGGTGTTCAGCTGGTTTCTGAGCGCTTGCCCTTTGCCTTTCTGTTAGATCTCTCAGCACCTCTTCCATTTCTGAGAATTGTGATAGACGTCAGGTGTCATTCATGGATAGACGTCAGGTGTCATTCCTCCATGAGGACAGAGAAGTGTCTCCAGGAACTCACAACAAACTAATTTCCCAGTGGAGTCAGGTCCATTTGCCCCTCATCTCCATCACACCTAACTGTTGTGACAGTGAGAATTTCGTGATCTCTGAAAAATCAGATGAGAACACAAGCCAAAGGGACCGAGGTCAGCCTTTGACCTTTGACTCCGAAGAGCCTTTTCCACAGAGGTTTTTAATGGTGCTCTACCAAAACACTCATCTGACTCTGATGCCAGGATTGGCTCAATGACCAGCTAACACTCCAAACTCTGTTGCAGGAAACCTTTCCGCCTTCCTTGAACTGTATTATCTGTGGATGAGCAGATATGAGGGTCACCCAATAGGACAAAAGGTAGCTGGGGGCGTCCTGAGCCTTGGCCTGATCCCCAGGTTTGAACACAGTTATGGACATGTGATTTGTCTGTCTGGACAATAGCCCTCTGTCTTTGAGGGATCTTCGCCCCTCCTTCCAATGTCTACACACCCTGTAGGTTTGTGAAGAAACTAACAATCAGTTTATACCCATGTGCTGGCCTGAGGCTGGAGCCATTACCACCTTATCCCACAGTGACTGGGTTCCGGGTTGGGTGTGAGATCCACATCAGGTCAATCAGAACTCTTCCCCAGGATTTTGTCAAGACTGCTTCATTCTGTAGCTGAAAGGATATGTGTTTGAACCTGCCTGTAGAATGGCTCTCATTGTGTAGAGAAAAGCTCAGAAGGAGATAATTTTAAAAAAAAAATCAAAGAAGCAGATCCAAAAGGAAACAGACAAGTGACACCTGGCAGAGCTCGCAGCCTTGAACGCTGCCTCCGCCTCTGGCCTCGTGCCATTTGGTTTTGTAAGCCACAGTGGCTGCCAAAGAACCTTGCCTAATACAGTGTTATTGCCAGGTGTGGGTATCTCTTGCCCATTTGGAAGTGGATGATTTTCTGTATGTTTGCCCTGACTTTTGCCCTCTCGTATCTTGCATCAGGAGTGGGCTGAGACCACCTGGGACTGCCCCTGATCCTCAAGCAGAAGCCTGGAGTAGCACCTGCTCTAGATGTCTATGGAGGTGTTTGATTGTTTTGCTATTATAAGGTGTGTGTGTGAGTGTGTATGTGTGTGTGTGTGTGTCCTCCTTATGCCTGCCTCCTTTTGGAGTTCCACAGAGGGGACCCTGTGCCATTACACAGGATCCTGTATTTAGAAGAAGCATGTGGTTTAACGCTATGCTGTCACCGTCTTGAAATTCACAGTCATTTAAAACAAGACACCCTGTGTTTTATTGAACACAAAGCCCCAGGAATTACATACCTGATGCTGGCTCCAGGTATCCCCTTGTGGGATTCACTCTGTTTAGAACAATGCCCAAACAAGCAGCTCTCTTGCATCTACTGCTCAACATTTAAATTCTGTGATTTGGCCTCAACTCTCCTTCCAGACGGAGCCTCTGTGAAAAGTGCAGCCTAGGCCTCTCTTTGGGCAGACATTGAGAACTCCCTCTGCTTCCAGGCTTATCAGAAAGAGCGAAGCTCCTAAACTCCTGAGACTCAGCCATGGATCCAGAATGGGGGTTGGGGTCTAGCAAACTAGTGAGCAGCCTGTGGTCGTGGGAACTGGTGAAGGCATGTGCTTGCATGGGTCTAGCTACTTCTGGGGAAAAGGTGGACTCTGCTGCCTCATATCTGACCCCAAGGGAGGGAGAACACTAAAGGGCAACCACCAAAACTGGACATTACCCAAGACTTCTCACCCATGCCGTTCAACTTGAAAAAAGAAAAAAAAAAAAAAAAAACAGTGGAGGAGAGAAGAGCTGACAAGAGATAGATATACAGTTTGACAATGGAGACCAAGTGCAACAAAAGTAGTTTATTTTTGGAGCATGCTAACAGCTATGCAACTAGGGATGGTCCATTTATGCTTCTCATCTATGCATTTGTGTCGAAAAGACATACTACGACTTTGGAATTTTCCAAAGGTGATTATATTTGAGATGTGCTGGGTCGTCACCCCCCCCCTTTTTCTTTCGCCCCTTGTACCTGTCTTAATCACAGTGAACCAAGTAAAACAGCTTTACAGCTTACTAAAACTCAAACTTGTCCTCAGAGGAAGCAGTTTAAACATTTCTAACTGTAAATTTGCAATGCATTGATTAGCAGCAGGGAACAGGGCTGGAGAATCAAACAGTGGCTCTAACAGTGGGGAGCCTGTCTTGTGGAAACACACACACACACACACACACACACACACACACACACACACACACACACACACACTCCAAGAAAAAAAATATCTAGATGATCTAGAAAAGCAGACCCTCTTCAGGACAGGGGCCTCGAAGATAAAAAGCAACACTCTGAAAGCAGTGTCTGCTTTGAAAAGCGAGTTGAGGAACAAGTCCACAAGAAGCCATGCTAAGAATGTGGTTTTAAAAGAGGGAGGCCTTACAGGAAGCCATATGGCTGCCCTGGTGCCAACGAGTCAAGTTTACCATAAATACCACAACAGCATTCTCCCTGAGGCTTACCTTTGCTGTGCCAACAATGAACATGGCCTCTTAATAAAGTGGCATTTCCCCAATGCACCTACCACACTAAAGGGACTTGGAGGCTTTGGCAAACAGATTCCATTGGCAGGCTCTTCATAGCCTCCCTGGCCAGCTGAAATACTGAGTCCCTCAAGAACAAATGAGTTACAACCTGGCAGGGTACCATTGAACCCGGAGCATGTGGATGCTGCCTAGAGATGCCAGCATTCCTAGGAATGCTGGGTCCATGGTTCTGAATCACTCTCATTTCTTGTTCCTTGCAAATGATTATCTTCTCCCCCAAACCCAAAGCCAAAGTTGTTAGTATTTAGGCATCTGTACTGGCCTGTCCTTGGGATTCTGACAGGATATGTCCTCAGCTGCAGCCACTAAGAGCACCAGGTGGTGCACATTCACTACGTTCCCTTTTAAAAGGGCCCTGCCTACCTCCCATCCTCCTCTCTCTCTTTTTTCTCTTCCTCTCTCTGCATTTCTGTTCCTCTCTCTGTCTCTCTCTCTCTCTGCCCTTCTCTCCTCTTTTCTCTATGCCTACCCACTTGGAGGTTGTTTTGTTGTTGTTGTTTTTGAGGGAGTGGTGGGTAGATTAGAATCTTATTTCTGTAATATGTGATTTAGAAGTTTGTTTTGTAGATTCACCATGATGGAAGGCTGATTAAAAAATAAACTGGTTATGGTGGCACACACCTTTGATCCCAGCACTCAAGAGGCCAAAGCAGATGGATCCCTGTGAGTTCGAGGCCAGCCTGGTCTACAAAGTGAATTTCAGGACAGACAGGGCTAAACAGAGAAACTCTGTCTTGAAAACAAAATAGGCTGATCCTTGACCAAGGCTCTGTGTATGTGGGGGGGGGGGGCGATATTTGAATGGTATGGTATGTATGTACAAAAGGAGTGAAGGATTGCTGAGGAGACCCTTAGAATAGAGTACCCTGGGGCACCCACAACACCTCACAGCCCCACAGTAAAAATTTACAGAAGGCTGGGTTCCCACATGTGTAAGGTTATTAATGGTGACATGAAAACTTCAGGCATCAACTCTTTCCTTCCCATGTCACCTGAACACATTTTAAAACATTATTTGATGCCACAAAAGGCAAGACTATCTACCATCCTTTTTCAGGCTTTCAACCATAACCCACATTCTCATGGCTTCCTAGAATCTTACACACACACACACACACACACACAGAGAGAGAGAGAGAGAGAGAGAGAGAGAGAGAGAGAGAGAGCAAGAGTTTATATCAAACTCAACTTGATTACTTGGGTGTCCTCTTTGGTTTGTGTGAAGGCCCGTGAAACACTTTGTGGCCGGTACTTAGAACCAGACCCAGATGTGTGATGAACACATCAGAAATCAACCTGTCCATTCAGCAGGCCCTGGGAGCATCATCAAGATCCCTCCTGATTATCCACCGCTGAGGATGAGAATCGAGTCTCCCACTGACCGGGTCCAAAAACGGTGACTCACAGCCAGGTTGGCAATCATCTTGTATTCCTCCTATCCAAGCTGCAAGTCAGTCCTCAGCCACTCCTTGCAGTGTTGTGAACTGTCGCTTAAGGGTCCCCCAACCGCGCACCAGTCCTTTGGGATCTCTGCTGGAGGCTGAGTAGAGCCAGGTCGGAGAGTGCAGGATCGGAGGCCATCCCAGGGTCCACTTGATCAGCTGGAAAGACACTGTGGAAAATAGTGCGTGTGCCCCCAACACTGGCTGCTGGCTGTGCTGACCCCGAAGGTCCTCTAAAGGCGTCCTCGCCCCAAACGGACTCAGCCCAGGCCGAGTGACTCGGGTAACGGTAGGAGCTGGGCAGAAGGCTCCACGGATCTTCCAGAGGTCTGTGCTGGAGAACCAAATCACTGTGCATATCCCTGGAACCCTGTTCGTCTGGGTGTCCTTCTAGTGGCCGGGCCTGCGGGCAGGTTGGGGACCCAAGATCGTCTGAGGAGAGAGGGCTGTTTGCAGTCCGGAGGCATCGCAGCAGACCCGGCGACCTTGCGATGGCAGCGCTGCCTGCATGAGGGGATGGCAAGGCCCAGGACGTGGGGCCACTCGTGGGCATCCAGTCAGGCTCACACGTTCGGGACGCGACGCCCCTGGCCCGGGTTTCGCTGAAGGTGAGCCGCGAGAAGCTCCGGCTCAGGGCAGCCAGAGGCGTGGGCTGCTGCAGTGGTGGGAGGCTGGGCGCGCCGGGCTCCCGGGGAAACAGCCGGACTGCTGCATGGCTGCTCCGGACACTCGGTGGTCGCTGCTCCTCGGCTCCACCGCCGGGCCAGGCCCGCGTCTTGGCTCGGAGTTCATCAGCCACTGGCAGCTGTGCGTGGTGTGACCTCTCCGGGTGGTAGAATCTGCACTTGACCCCGTAGGTGCATTTCTTGCCTAGAATAGGGGGGCAAGTCGAAGAGGGTGCAAGATGAGACCTGGGGTGAGCAGAGGCTTGCCATACCTGGCCCCATGCCCTTCCCCAGCCCACTGACTCTACTGCTTTCCAGCCGGTGAAAGGCCTCAGATCTGGAAGGTGAGCTAGGTGGCTCGGAGAGAGTGCTCCAAGCTCCATAACCACCGCAAGGCCAGTCAAGTAAGTATCCATCCAGGAATGACTTTGAGAAGAGTCTGAGGCCAAGCTGGGTCTGGTCACCCTTAGCTTCCTCCACCCCAGGGACTCTGTGGAAAAGACTGACCTTGAGGATGGAGCCCGCAGTAGCAATGCCTCAGTTTTCACTAATGGCCACATCCATCCCTGCTTCTCCCTATACCTGTTCTAACCGGAGTGAACAAACGACCAAACATGTGCCCATCTAAAACCCAAGCACTTCACAGAGTGAACCTCAACAACTTGGGCCAGCCTGAAAGGATAGTTATGTTAATTCTAACAAGAAATCATTTTGGATGTCACCCACATCTTAATGAACTTTAAGCACAAAAGCCAGGAGCTTAAATAAGTTTGCAAAGCAGATTAATGGAAGAACTAGATAGACATCTAGATGAAACCCTTAACTCTGAATGGCTAGCGTGGACCAAGTCTGCAAGGGTGGGGTGGAGGGGCAGATAGGGGCAGGATAAAAACGTCATGTGCCAGGGATGCAGTGAAGGGGCTGAGAGCAAGAGCTGGGGGAGCGTGCATGTTCTGCCTCCCTCTGAATGTAATTCTCCCTCCGACCCGCATGGGTGTCAATCCTTAGAGTAACCTTGTTGGCAAGCTACAGTCCAGAAATGCTAGGCTTCTCCCCAGGGACAGGTAGCTGGTTGAGGGCAGCACTTGCTTGGGCAGGAACTCGGATTGTTCTCAGGCTAGTGCTTCTCACTGTACCCCTCTGATGCCTGTACCAGTTCCAAGACGGGACACACAATGCCTGGGAGCTACCCACCATAGGGACAGTGCTGCCAGGATGGCTCTGGTGGCCTTGGCTTCTTGCTTAGGAAATTGCTCAGGGTTGGTCCACGGCGGCCAAGGGGGTCATCAGGAGGCATGAACCTGAAAAATAACCAGAGAGGGGCCACTTGAAGAGCGAATGGGACTTACCACTGGTACCTATATGGAGGCTCAGGAGAGGAGGCCTGAGCCACCCACAGAATACCAGATGGCATGGACCATGCACAAAAAGAGCTCCCTTCACACCAGCCTCTCCTAATGTGGTGCTGGCCAGTAGGTTCAGAATCACCCCACAGCTTGTTGCCCAATGCAGTCTGAAGTTGTCCCTGTCAGACTTGGACTTTTTTTTGTTCCAGGAATTTATATATTAACAACTTCCTAGGTGCTTTTTATGCAGAAAAAAAAACATAATTGCTGGGCTCCCCACCCCTTTTCCATCACCCTCACAAAAGCCTGAGAAAGTTCATGGCATTAACAGCCCAAGGGAGGTGTGGGAATTGTGCAAACGCCTTGGAGGCTTAGGTCTCGTGATGGTTCATCTGAACTGTCAACTTGATGAGAATAACCTGGGAGACCGGCCCCTGGGCATGCATATGAGAGGGTGTCCCTATCAGGTTAAAGACGGTGGGAAGACATACCAGTTACGGGCAGCACCGTTGCCTGAACTGGGAGCCTAGACTGTATAAAAAGGGGACAAGGTGCACTGAGCCTAAGCAAATTTGTCATTCTCTGCTTCTTGACTGCAGAAGCAATGCGGCCAGCTGTCTCAGGTTCCTGCCACTGTGACTTGCTCACTGTGACGGGCTGAAACCCGGAACCATAAATCAAAATACGCCCTTAAGTTGTTCTTATCAGGGTATTTTATCAAAGCAACAGACCAAGAAACCGAGACAGGCCCCTCCCACCCTGCCTCTCAGCTGTGGCATATGCAAATGAAAGGTCAATAGTGACAGTCTAAAACACAAGCAATTAAGTCTATGAAGATACAGACCCCTGCATATAGCACCTCTGCCAGTCTTAGCTCCAGCCTTTGCAAACTCTGGGTGTGGCAGAACTTCCGGGCTTGGCCTCAGCTTCTGGGGTTGCCCTTTCTCAGCACACATGGTCATCTGATGCCAGCCTGCCTGCTGCCTGCCCCCCCCCGCCCCCAGAGCCCCAACAGAAGGGAATGGGTGCTCCAAATGTTCAGGAGACAAAATGCCTCAAAAGCTGGGCATTGGCCTCTTATACCTGTAATTGTACAAGTGGGGAAGCTGAAGCAGGATAGTTGCAAGTTCAAGCCAGCCTGAGTAATTTAGTGAAACCATAACTCAAAATAAAATTTACAAAATGGGTTACCAATGTACCAAATAGGTACATGCCAAATATATGCACAAAGCCTTGGGTTCAATCCCACAAAAAGAAAACAGCTTCTGAAAACAATAAAAAACAAATGAAAAAACCTCCCATTTACTAAGATCCTGTGTCTCCAATAAATCCCTTAGTTCCCAGGAGGCCCTTCCAATCTACACAAAAGTCCTAGAGGAGGGCTAAATGGGGAGGAGAGCTGTCTTTGCCCATCACTGTCGTTCACAAGTTGAGCGAGTTCCACCCAGCGGAGAGCTGAGTGATCCCTGACCCAGTGCGGACTCCAGGGCTCTGCTCCAGCCACACAGCTGGCTTCTCCTGGAGTTGGGACCTGACCAAGAATCTGAGGAACCACCCACTGCAGTCATGAAAACTTCTCAAAGGCACCACCTCCCTCTCTCTCGGGAGCAAGAGCTGTGCCAAGAGGGCCCTGTGGACATGCCCTGGGCACTGAGGCAGGCACCCTTACTCACAGGCAGTCAGGCCTTGTTTTCTTACTCTCCACCCCCATAGCAGAGGGCCAGGCATTAGAAGGAGTTGGCCAGGGCCTCTGGTTGTCACCAGGCCAGAGGCAGCCATGACCCGTCAGTCCTCAGTGAGGATTTTTGGAATTTAGTTTACGAACTTGCCAGATTCATCCAGACCCAAACTGGACAGAGAAAGTCACTAGTCCATGAGTCTGGAAATGACCTCGAGGGTTACTGTGGGGACAGCTGCTGAAGCATCTGTCCTGGCCTCAGAAGGAACAGGTGGCAGTCAAAGGGAATGGAGCATGTCCAGACCTGTCCCCAGGAATACTGCTAACCCTTACAGAATCAGTTTTCTCTCATTTTCACACCACTTCAGCAGGGTAGGACCTCTGAGGAAACCACTTCATAAGGACCAAAATCTTAGTGCTTTCCCTTGCACCACACCACCTCCCTGACTTCAGGGTCAGGCACTGTTCTCTTATGGGCAAGTGGACTGAGTGTCACCTGGGGTGCTTTTTTCTCCTCTCATCTCCTCTTTGCCTGGCCCATAGTCATGTGGTCATTCTTTCACACACTCATCCATTCCTGTATCACTAGTGAGTGTGTGTCTACTATGTGCCAATTGTGCTGGGAACATGGGGACTCAACAGGAAATCTGTGGTATTACAGAGTCAAAGACTTTGCCTCAAACCATGTGCCAAAAGGCCAGTCAGAGGTCCCAGAGCAAGAGTTGATGGATTGTTGCCTGGAACAGAAACCAAAGGGCTGGGGTTGTAGCCCAGTTGGTAGAATGTTTGTCTAGGATACACAAAGGCCTGGGTTGGTTTGGCCCTCTGCGTGGTATAAACTAGCGTGGTGGTCCACTTTTGAATTTGTAACACAAGATGAGGGGGGAGGACCAGAAGTTAAAGGTGATCATTCACTACACAACTTTGAGGCCAGCCTAGGGTACAGAAGAGCGTCTCAGCCAGATTTTTTTTTAAAGATTTATTTGTATTGTTTTTAATTATGTGTAGGAATGTATGTCTTCATGTGGGTCTGAATGTCAGTGCAGATGCCAGAGGTATTGGGTTCCCTGGAGCTGGAGTTGGAGATGGCTGTGAGCTGGCTGACATGGGTGCTAAGAACCAAGCATCAAGTGCTCTTAACCACTGAGCCATCTTCCCAGCCCCAGTCAGCACAGTTAAAAAGACAAAAACTTGAAAGAAAAAACAACAAAGTTGAAATCCCCCCTCCATGATAACTTTTTTCTAATTTTAATTTTTAGATTTATTTTATGTATATGAGTGCTTTTGCCTCTCTCTCTCTCTGTGTGTGTGTGTGTATGTGTGTGTGTGTGTGTGTGTGTGTGTGTGTGTGTGTGTATACCACGAAGATGCCTAGTACCTATGGAATCCAGAAAGGGCATCAGATCCCCTAGAGTTGCAGTTATGGATGTCTGTGAGCCACCAAATCAGTGCTGGGACCCAAATCTGGATCCTCTGCAAGAGCAGCCAGTGCTCTTAACCCCTGAGCCATCTGTCCAGCCCCACCCTGCATGATGACTATATTATGGCTTTTACTTGGACAGAAAATGAATTTTCTGGTGTGCTAAACACACTTTTGGTCCACCTGTTGGGCAACCTTGCAGGGAGTCGGTTCAATTAGCCATGAGAACCAAATGGTCATGGGCAGAACTGCTTTCAAGGAAGCCAGTCACAAAAGAGAGATGTGAGGGACAGAGATGACCCCTGGCCTGAAGGGGCCTGGCTAGGGCCACAGACTTCCATCCCTTACCTGTCATTTACAAAGGAGAACATGAGCAGTCGCTGCTCGATGAACCATTTCCACTCTGGGTTTTCACTCTGCAGGTCCCGGTAGTTGTCATTGGAGACAATGATGCCATCCTTCTCAAAGGCCACCTTGACAATGTAGCGGTCATCGTAGCAGACCACTCGCTTGCCGTTGACCTTGCGGGATGGGGTGTACACCAACACAGATTGCCGCTCCAGCTCCTCCAGCACGTGCTGCTCTGAGGCCACAGGTGGAGACTTGAGTTGAGGCTCTGTAGAAGGGCCCAACCCAGAGAACCCCTCCCCCTCCCAAACAGTCTGCCTCCATACGGGCTGGCTGCAGCCAGTCAGACCCGAGTAGGTTCGAAGGGACTATCATTACTGTTTAGACAATTTCTTACTATAAAGTCTAGACTGGCCTCAACTTGACAATTTCCCCCTTCTGCCTCCTAAGTGTTGGGATTGTCGCCTGTACCACCAAGGCTGACTTACTCCTTCACGCCTACAACCCCAGCATTGGGAAGTAAAAGCAGAAGGAACAGGAGGACAAGGTTGCACGAACCCCTGCCTCAGACAACACAAAACCACAAAAGTGCATAGTACACATAAGGTACCTGCAATAAAAAGCGCTGTGAACTTCGAGAATGAGGTGCGCCATGCCCGGAAAGTCCCTGCTGCCCATCCCAGTCCAAAAGCCTCACTTCCCCTTAAGATAACCTGTTATAAAAACAGTGTTGACAGTCCCCCTTGCTTTTATTTTCACAGGTACACATGTGAGGACCATTTTTAGTGTGGCTCTGCCTCGGACTTTACCCAATGAGTAGTCCCTACCCACACTCCTATACCGGTTTCTTTGCCCAGTTACCATATAGTGACATGGTCCCGCCGTGTCCCACATGTTTGCTACTGTCGCCAAGTGAGTCTCTGGCATGTACATCCAGGGAACCCCCGGGAGTAGATCTCCGAAGTATTTTTTGGCCTGCCAGGTATAACACGGTCTCTTACATGGTTTTATTTCTGGCTATTAATGGAATTGAGCATCTTTGCTATTTTTACTTCCCACTTTGAATTTTCTTCTATAAAAGGCTTATTTATGAAATAGCTCGTTTTTCTGTGGGTTCTTGTCCATGCTTCAGTAATTTGGAGATGAACCCCTTTGTCATTAAAATGTAAGGTATAAGGCTGGGGGTGTGACCGGGTTGGCTGAGTGCCTCCTTATTATGCAAGAAGCCTGGAGTTCAAACCCATCACCGAATAAAATGGGCCTGCAATCCCCACACTTAGCACTGGAAGCAGAAGCAGGTAGGTCAGATGTTGAAGAAGGCAGAACCTGCCATAGTCTAGACTCTTCTCTTTCGAGCTTTTTGTTCTGAGTTTGGGGGGTTTGTTGTTTGTGCCATAGTCTAGACTCTTCTCTTTCGAGCTTTTTGTTCTGAGTTTGGGGGTTTTGTTGTTTGTTTGCTTGCTTGCTTGCTTGCTTGCTTGCTTGCTTGCTTGCTTGCTTGCTTGCTTGCTTGCTTGCTTGTTTTGTGGCACTACTGTATGCTTCTGAGCCCAAACTTTCAACATGCCCAATTTTATTCATTTTTCTGTACAGTGCTGCCCCTTTATGGTTTATTTTAAAATCCCTAGCCAAGTATGTTGGCACACATGCACTTGGCAGACTGAGGCAGGAGAATGACCAGGTTTTGGCGATAAATCAAGCTCCTGGCCAGCTAGGGCTATATAATTAGATTGTCATAAATACATAAATGTATGGAGGCTGAGGACAACCTTTGAGTTGGTTCTGTCTTTCTACCCTGTGGGTCCTGGAGTTCCAACTCCGGACATGAATTCTATAGGGACAATGGTAAAGCAATACAAAAGAGGGCACACATTCCCATGGGAAGTGGCGTGGAGACGGCAGGCAAGCCTCACATGTTGACAGACTTCAGCAAGACAGAAATCAGAGAAACTTAAATGGCTGAGAAACACTTGAAGAAATGTTCAACATCTTTAGGCACCTGGGGAATACAAATCAAAACCACTTTCAGATTTCATCTTACCCTATCAAGAATGATCAAGACCAACAAAATCAATCGCATCTCATGCTGGTGAGGATGAGGGGTAAAGAGAACACTCATCTGTTGCTGGTGGGAGTGTAAACTTGGGTAGCCTCTATGAAAATCAGTGTGGCGGTTTTTCAGGAAGATGAGAACGGATCTACCTCAAAATCCAGGTATACCACTCTTGGGCATATACTCAAAGAACCGTACATCCTACCACAGAGACATCTGTTCAATCATGTTCATTCCTGCTCTATTTATAATATCCAGAAATTGGAATAAGCCTAGATATCCATCAACTATGCAGTGGTTCTCAACCTTCCTAATGCTGTGACCCTTTAATACAGTTCCTCACATTGAGGTGACCCACCAACCATAAAATTATTTTGTTGCTACTTCATAACTGAAATTTTGCTACTGTTGTAAATTGTATTGTAAATATCTGATATGCAAGATATCCAATATGTGACCCCTGTAAAAGGGTCCGTCTGACCACCACCTCAAAGGAAGTCTGAGAACCACTGAACTGATTAACGGATTAAGACAATGTGGTATATTTACACAATGAAATATTATTCATCTGTTAAGAAAAATGAAATCTGATAGCAAATGGTCAGAGCTAGAAAAAAATCCTAAGTGCGGTAACCCAGACCCAGAAAAACAAATAGTGTATGTTTTCCCTTATATGTGGATGTTAGCTTTTAAGCTTTCAATCTGTGTGCTAGAATCTGAGTAACAACCAAGGTTTGGTATCTAGTATCTAGTAAGAGACCACCCAAAGAAGAGGAAGTAGACTATGTCTTTATGGAGAGACAAAAGGGAAACCAGGAGGACTAAATATTTAGGGAGATGGGAGAGATGGGTAAAGGAGGGAATGTGGAGAAAAGCAGCTATCACTAAAAGCCATTTGGAAAACCATAGAAGAACCTGCTGCTGAGAAGCATCCTAAAACACACACATACATGAAAGGAATCCAAACAGAGTCACCCAATAATAGAAGAGGCAATGCCCCAACTAGACATCTCATGCCACTAAGTAAAATCCCCATGCCGGGAATTTTTATTTTGTTTTTGTTTTGTTGAGTCATTGGACAAAGGGCCCCATGGAAACTCCAAAATATCAGAGGCTGCTGCCAAGGCTATTGGTTACCCTCCATAATTTAATGGTAAAGCCCTATTGCTGAAGACACAATTTATTTATGTCATCAAACATGAGAAGTCAAGCTGGTGCCTGACTAGAAGCTTCTCCTCTGCTCACTAGCATTCATGATACTAGAAGGTATTCTTTTGTTTTTTTTTGGGGGGGGGGGAACAGGGTTTCTCAGTGTAGCCCTGGCTGTCCTTGAACTTGCTCTGTAGACCAGGCTGGCCTAGAGCTCACAGAGATTCTCCTGCTTCTGCCTCCCAAGTGCTGGGATTAAAGGCATGCACCACCACTGCCAGCTGTTTCTGCTTTGTGTTTTTGTTTTTGTTTTTTTAAAGAGAGAAAGAATAGAAAGTTGGGTAGGTAGGGAGGTAGGGCAGATCTAGGAGGATCTGGGGGATCTGGGAGGATCTGGGAGAATTGAGAAGATCTGGGAGGATCTGGGGAGGTCTGGGGAGGGGAAAACATGATCAAAATGTATTTCATGAAAAATATTTTCTGTTAAAAAGAGAAAATGGGGACTTGGTTTTGAACCAAGTTGTACCCCATGGGGCTAGCCATCTGAAATTCTGAATAGGACCCTAGTCTGTGTTACTGTGCTGTCTGTCCAAGTTTCACATTTGTGCTGTGTGCTTGTTAAGCATCTCTTTCTGTCCCTACTGTCCACGCATGTGGCATGCGTGGGTCAGGGGTCTTTTCTTGCCCTGAGCACGTGGCGTGCAGGATAGGAGTTCCTCTGCCATGTGCCATGGGTTAGAGTGTGCTGCGGCGGAGTCCCCTGAGGCTGCTACTCTGAACTCCAACCATTGCTTTGGCCCTCACAGCTCAGCCTGGCCTATGTAGGTGAGTCTGTTTTTCCATCCTCACCTGCCCGTCTGTGAGGCATGCAAAATGGGGCCCTCACTGCCCCAACTGCCATCCTGCCTTGAGTCCTGGCTTGCTGTGGGAGTTTCCCTGCCCTGAGCACATGGCTTGCAAGGCCATCATTTGCCTGGCTGCCTGGTATTCTCTGTGCTCCACACACAAGGTATGCAGGGAAACCTCGGGGGTCTTTTTCCCACCCCTGCATTGGCAGAGGGTCTCGGGTTACCAGCAGCAACCCCCCCCCAGGTCTCCGCCCTGAGCACATGAAGCTGGGGTGGGTGAACCATCTGGCCTGTTCCGCATGTTCTACATGTTCTAAAGAAACGGCCTTAAAGTTATTAAAAACTATAAAAAGGACTCTGATAAGAGTTTTTATGTTGCCTGAGAAAAGAGAGAAAATGTAGGAGACTAAAATAATAAAGAGGGAAAGGGAAAGAGAAATTTGTCTAAGAATGTCTAAGAAAATCAGAGGAATGAACCAAAGGTATATAGAAAGTTATAGAGGGTTAAAGCAAGTCGTAGAAGGTCAGAGGAAAGGATGTTAAATGTCAGAGAAAATTGTAAACTGTTTGTTATGGTTTCTCATGTCTACAAATAGTAAATTTTAAAAATTGGTATCATAAGTTAAAATTGTAACCATATTAAGTTAATTCAGTTTAAAAAGTCCTGTTTATTTCTCAAGTAATTTATGTATGCTTGTTTTAAAATGTTCTGTTTCCTGGCATAACCTAACTTAGGTTACAAGCATACAGCTAAAACAAATGGTGCCGGTCACCACCATTTTGTAGCCAGCCACATGGCTGACTGGTAGCCATTTTGCTGAAGCTGAAAAAAAGATACTTAAACCGACATCTTGACTAAAGACCACATGGAAATTAGAGGTAGCATCTTAGAAACAAGTTTTTCAATTAAGATTTAAAATGTTAATGCTTCTATATATTACAGAAAGACATTAAGGGAATTTAAATTTCTTTTTAAAACCAGTTTTTTAAATGTTTATGTTTTTTAAAATGTCTTTTTACTAATGTTTGTACTTAAAGAGCTTCAATTTAGAATCATTTTTTTAAAGCAAAGCCTGACAATGTAAAGTTCTTGTTTTATAAAAGTTGCTAATCTATCATAAGATGTTACAGTTTATGTTTTCAGAAGTT